TCGTCAATATCGAGGGACACCCAACAGGAGCCGATATGCTAATAATGACCGATCAATTCTGTTCAATCAACAATATATCTATCATCCTAGGAGTGGGTACCGCGGCTCAGCGGTCTACAGTATAACACTCTGGTGTTTGAAGTGACTCGTCATGGATTCAAATCTCAATGGGGATATCACTCCCTAAGAAGCAAGTACATACAGCTGACGAGCCCCGAGTGGGACGAAACGCTCGTCCTGGACTTAACTGCTGGTTATTACCCATCGTTAATATTACGGGATGATGTGTTTCTAGAAAAATATGAGGGGATAATGAAAACATTTGCAGAAATAGATGATTGCATCCTGGGTTCTCATGGCAAACTGTAAACCCAATTGTGAAGAAATTCTCACCGTACAATCTTTCGTAGATTTTGTGATAACGATTTTGTCTGGAATGACTACAGAAACTCTGCACACTTGATTGCATATATATATATATATATATATATATATATATATATATATATATATATAAAGGCTAAAAAAGTTGCGTATTCCAGCCTTTCTGGATCTGTTCGGGAAATAGTTGTATTTCGCAGCATTACCCCTTACTTATATTTATTCGTCTACACATGAAAAGTTACAAAACCCATAAGTTCGTCTTTGAAGTTAATTGTACTCTAGTTAAAATTGCAAATACTCATTTGAACCTGAATAAGTTGCGTGGCAAAAAAACGGTTATGCAATCAAGTTTGCAGTTCACTAACCTATTAGTTTCTACAATAGAAGGATATCATTCAATATCCTGCAGTGGTATTGATTAAGTCCACGGAGATGTGAGATGATAATACACAACAAAATCTAAATCCTCTTCATATTGTGTCAAGACAAAAATTGTGAGAGAAAAAAAGGTTTGTAGGTAGTCTCCTCACAAACCATTTGATCTACATTTCAATGGTGGCTACTAACTTGCTCCTAGATGGATTTCCCAAAGTTGCGATCGGAAGTTATGACCTGTGGGGTCACCCAGGTTGAAAATGAAGGTAGCCACTCAGCGAAAGAATACCAAATGATGGTCGTGCTATATGACGAATTGATACCAGTGGGAAAAGTGAATTACTGGAATCTAGAGCAGCGGTTGACTGACTAGTAAACTCTTCTTTATCCTGCGTTCAACCCCTCACAATCTAATAGGTGTGCACCGCTAAAGAGTCCAACATTAATATGAAGCGGAAACGTAGTATTCCTCGGTTTTCAATAATTCCTTAGTTGATGGCGATCCATGGCGAAAACTGCTTTGAGATATTGTGATTAACCTAAAGTTTATGCTAATGATGGATAGCGACTAGCAGTAAAATCCAGGATGTGCGTTTCTTCCCACAGTGGCTAATCAATTCGGTCTAATCAACGACGGAGATTCACAAGATATAACCCCAAGGATTAAAGTGAAACCTGAAGGTCCTGAGTTCGACCCCTGGCGAGGTCATGGATACGTACTGTTGAGGGGCCATACTAAAACAAAACAGCTGTCCAGTGCTCCCAGGTTTCCAATGTTCCTCCAACTGATATCAGTCTATGGTGAATACCAGGTTAGAGTTTATACGCTTACACACTAATCTCTACTGATTCAACAATGACAAATAGATCTCTCAGCTGATTCATTTCGATAAGGTGAAAATCAAAGAGATTCTAACTGAAAGGTGAAATATGTTTGTCATTGCCCTTCTCTCTCGCCCCCACACCAGTTAGTTGTTATTTTATGTGTGTACAAAAGTTACACTAAAAAATTAACACGCCAAGGGTCACTTTTCATGTACAAAATACAACACATGCACATGTAAGTAGACACAAAGAAGATGAAATGATTCATGAGCATTTTCGAACGGCAACAACAATAACAAAAAATGATAATGCTTCGAATGAAAATCTGTTTACTTATGCGATAAAACATTTTACAACGTTAAGTATGCCTTGGTACACAGCCTGTATAAACAAATAAGTTCATAAAAGGTATGGGAGCCAAATCTGAGTAACAGTGTTCACGCACAAACAAGCGAAATTTCACCACAAGCTTGTACCACTAAAGGATGGCCACGAATTGCAAATAGCCACGTGATAAGTAGAAATTTGATTAAAGGAGGTGGTTGGCAGGAAATTAATATTGTTGACGAAAATGACAGGAGAAATTGCGAAAAAATTTGGACTGTGGAAGGATTCGAACTAGTGGCTTCCAAACTACTTGTTTTATATTTAATTGATGAAGATAATGAACCGAGCAACAAGCGAAGTAGAGTACTTTTATATCGGTTTCAATTACCATACTGCATTAACACATTAAAGTGAAATCAACAGAAAGAAAGGGTGCAGAGTGAAAATTATGACACAAGCTGTCGTTAAGGGCGACAGCACAAAAAGAAAAGGAGACAAAGACAATGAATAGAAGGCTTGATGAGTAGATTTTTAAAATAGAAAAAAAGCATGTGTGTATTTGTGTCGTTGAAGATCACAGTCATGAAGCCTAAACTTCGCTACATAAATTGGACCAGCAGTTAAACACTTTATGCATAGGCGCTGTGTTTGGGTCTGGTCAACCTTAGCTATTGGCTAGGTTTCAGCTCTAGTTAATCCCTGATTTGTTTCAATATCACAGCCTACTTACAAAGTTGAATAGGTGATTATCAACAGGCCTAATCTATTGTGTTCTCTGAGCTGGGTTGTTGAATCGAAGAGCTTTCATGGTAGAAATCTTAGACAGGAAACACAAAGAATATCAGAGAACTCCTAGAAGCTTGGCATTCAGGTCAATCATCAATCAATAGATGTATAGCGATAGACCCAATCTATCAACCAATAAGGAAAATGATAAACGACAGAAAGGTCAGAGGTCAAGCAAATGAACAACCAACAAAAAACCTATGCAGTCAATGAAACAACAATCGAAGGAAACAACCAATCAGAAGGTAGTTCGTCAGGGCAAGCTACTGAATCACTCATAGATAGATACTGACAGCTTACTTCATACTGAAGTAAGTGCTGATGATGTCGTCTAGAAAGATGATGAAAGCTCCACGATTAAAGAACCCAGTTCAGATAACACAACACAGCCAAGATCATCCACCATTTCAGGCCTAAAATAAGTTAAATTAAACTTTTATGGATAATGGAAGTGCATATAAATAGTTTACTTGCATTAATTATAGTCAATAAAGAATTCATTGATCCCCGATGCCATAACCTGGTTACCCATGGGTGTTGTTTGACTCTATGCAATATTTACAGTGTTATGAATAAAGGCTATCTAGATACGCAGGAAACAAAAACAATGGTTTCCATACTTTTCTGTGTAAGTGTCTCATTATAAAGTTGCTTACTAACAATTTTATCTCCTTCCTATTTTATTATTATACTCAGCTGCTTATGGCCAGGGTGTAAGCATAAGTCACTAGTGTTTATCAACAATTTAAACATTTTATAGGGAAGAAAACAAGATAAGGCTTAATTCATTGTCATTCGACTAAGACAAACTTCTAAGGTCAATAGTGGTGTGTGACCGTTTTCATTCATTATGACAGATTTGTACATACAAAAATAACACACATTCACTATAGAAAACGAAATATGACTTAGATGGGATGACTAATTCATTTAGAGGAGGAAGTATTATATTGATTAGTTGACCAGACAACAGCACAACACTAAAAAATGACTACATTAGGGTTAAATTGAAGGGCTTAACGCCACTTAGTAATGGTAATGCTGTTGACTAATAATATTTTCGTTGGTTGTGACTAGCAGAAGCCAGGACAACAAAACAACGGAGAATAACAAGCATGTCAATAAATAGTAATAAATGCAAATCCTGGATTCCACTGCTAGCCACTGCCCATCATCAGTATACATAATTAAAACATAGGCAATATCTAGGCCTCCGCACAGGAGCCCATATGCCAACAGAGACTGATCAATTCGGTCCAACCAACGATGATGTAATACACGCAATAACGCTAAAACTATACCCGTCGCACAAGAAGTGGCTATCGTGGCTCGGTGGATAACGCTCTCGCGTTTAAAGCGACCGCTCCCGAGTCCCGGTGGGAACAACATCACTCACTGGGAGGCAGGTACATCCAGTTGACGAGTCCCAAATAGGACGAAATGCGTATCCTGGATTCCACTGTTAGCCACTGCCCATCATTACTACAAATAATATTTTCGTTAGAAATAAAGGCTAGAAGAAAGAATGGGGAAAAAGGATGTAATCATGAACAGTAATCCTGTCTTCTCTTATCAACTACATCGATACCAACCGTCTTTTACAATCAACTTTCAGTTTGTGTACTGCTGTGAAGTGCACTTCTCTTCAAGGTGTATCTGTCCTGATTTATGTTTTCGTTTAATCTACTTACTGGGATCAGGTGAGTTTTTTCACTAAAAAATCATTCAATTCCTATAGTTACTTCTGAGCATCCATTACGGATGATACATCATGCAGGTGCACTCAATACCATCACACATGCTTCGTTTGAGTCTCTTAATCTGCACTAACAACATGATGAACACATTGGTCACATGTGAGTAATGTTGGGATTGGGTGGAGAGTAAGAGATGAGAAAGGCATGTTAGTCATTAACTGATCCATAATTTGATAATTGTACAACAAAAGGAAGAAGAATATTTTCTGTGGATTGTATTTCTTTGTGACTCAGCAACCCGCCACACGTTTGTATAATAGACTATGTATCACAAGTAGTATATCAAAGCTTATAAGAGGATTTACCTGATCCCTATGACTGAAGTAGAGTGGGATTCGAACTCAGAACCCGATATTATTTTTACAATGGTATCATTCGTGGTGCAAAAAAAGAATGAAGTTTAGCAGCTACACATATTATGTAAGGGTGACACATATATACAAAGAAAAAATGGCAACAAAAAAAGCAATCACTCAGAATTAAGCAAAAAACTACAAGTTTTACATGAAACAATGGTATGCAGACTTAAAATACAATAAAACCTACCAAGCAGTTGAGCAAATGTTGGCCTAGCCTTCGGTTCATGCGCCCAACACGCTCTCATCACAGCATCATAGATTGGATCTGGACATGCATCTGGCTGATCCAATCGACGGAAACGCGGAGCATCGATCATCTCCAATACTTGTCGACCAGCCAAACCAGCCCATGGTGTAAAACCATAAGTGAATATTTCCCACAGTGTAATCCCATACGCCCACATATCTGAAGCTGTAGTGAATAATAAATCATGTATACACTCTGGTGCACACCATGCAATAGGCAGTTTCAGATTGACATTGAAATTCGATTGGTAATACGATTTACCGAGTTGTAGTGCACGACTCATTCCAAAATCACTAATTTTCACCTGCAGACAAACACAACAATCAGATATAGAAATAGATATTGGTGCATCGTAACATGATAATGGTCAATCTATTTTAAATTAGCTGGAAATTAAAGTTCAAATCAATTGAAAAGTTAGTGAGTGAAACAAGTAAATTCTTCACACATTTTACGCTAGTAAGAGACACTACTTCGCTAGACAATCCTCTTGGGTGAATATAACGTTGAATAAAATTCTGGAAGTGAGTTTCTAACCCACAAGTTGAAATCCTAGCTAAGATGTTCGTAAATTTATGTGACATTTGTTCATCAAATCTCTAGGTTTTTCAGCTGGTAGTCAATTAACCCACATGTAATATAATTCTTGTAGAATTCCATTTATAAAGAGAGTAAATATTAAGCACTGAGTTGTCAATCGAGTTACTGTTCCTGCTGACTTGATTACTTTACTGTTACTTTTCATCATTATGAGCAAGAGAGATAGGTGTATCTCACTGGCTTCCTACTGAGGTAACTGTTTTTAAAAAAGCAGGATTTTCTAGTGTGTCAAATACTTATTTACCGATGGAAAGAGCCAATCAAGGTAAAGTTAGAACTTGATCAGCAGCTGGACATCCTGGTCAGTCGGTAGAGCCCTAGGCCGGTAGCCCGTAGGTCACTGACTGGAATCTTACGGCGACTCCAGTTTCCATTTCATCATCGACCATCACCACTTACGAAAATTACTTGCTAGATAAGGGCTTTCTCGAATCCCTACAAACAATCTTCAGGAATATTTATACAAAGTAATTATAACCAGATGTGTGTGAGAGAGAGGTGAGAGAATAGCACGATTTCCTTAACTCGACTGCTTAGTTAGCTGTGAACCAGTAACCAAATAAATTAGTGTTAGTTGCTTAAGAATGAAAACAAAAATATTACAGTGGAAATGAACTGACACTTACAAAAACACTTCAAGGAGTACCGTGCAAGCGCTTTCTAAACATCATCACCACCACTTTCGGATCCCAAGTTCAAACCCACACATTCCTTTTTTTTGTCAGCTGAAATACTTCAAAAGTTACGCTTCTACTAAAACTTTTCATCGGAACAACTAAGACTTACAATGAGTAACATCTCATGAAAGATGTCAGTGTACATCATTTGTAAAAGTACTTCATGCAGAAGTAGCTGGTCTGACATGTATGGTACATACTCTAAACGGTCTGAACAGTTTGTTTTTATCTGAAGTCATTGGCCCGATTTCAGTTCCCTGCGTTCGGATGTCCCCATCAATCTTCGGAACCATTTAACAGCACCAGTCATCAAACAACCCCGATACATTAGTCAAGTGAAAAAGCGAATCGTAATCTTTATATAATTGCATTACAATTAGTACGTATTACCAATATAAAAACTAAGATACTACAGAAGAAGGGAGGAGCTTTAAAAACCGTAATTCCATTTTAGTTTTTGTCTATTGTTACTTGTAACTTCCTGTCACTATAGACGGTCGAAATGCTCGACCTCTGTTGGGAGTTGGCTCCTATGAAGATGCCGCCATAGTGTCTGGATATTCATTATCTTGCAGTCTACTTGGTGACTAGCATTGAAATCTAGAACGAACGTTTTGCCCTTTTTGGGACTCGTCAGCTAGATGTATCTGCACTCCAGTGAATGATGTTGTCCCCACTGACAGGTCAAGCAATTCGAGCCAGTTTAGCAACAGAAAGTTACAAGTATCAAGCAACTAGAACTAAGCATTCAATAGAAAAAGCATACACACCAGGTGGGAATAGATTTGCCAACTGCATTACGTTGACTTCATCCTGGGCACATCCCTGATTGAAACCAACCCACTTTTTATCCATAAAGAATAACAACTTTAAGATCATTAGAAAGTCAGTGTTAATGGACATTGGAGCAATAGTTACAAAGTTTGCAGGTGATGTCAGTACTTCTGCTAACTGACCGCGTGACTCGATGCACAATACCAGTCCACAAAGATTTAGGGCTGAAGGAAGTGAATACTGGTCAAATTAAGGATGTGAGATTAATTCTAGCAGTTGCTAATTGTCTGTCTGAGCTGTGTAGGGAGGTGTAGGCTCCAGAATTGGTAACCTAGAGATATTAGGAATCAGTGTCTTAGGAGGCTCTTTAAGATTGTCTAGAATTAGTCGAATGTAGGTGGACTTACGGCCGATTACCTTGAAGATTTCCAACAGTCTAGTTATTCTTCATTTATTTATTCTCTTCTCACATGTTTCTTCTTTACAACCACAATACCAGTCTTTTCCATTACAGCTTTTCCTTTTGTGATATAATGAAGTAAAACAATTTGAACTAATGAGTTTTTGTGCAAGTTCGTACACTCATCTCTTTCTCTGTCATGTTAGTTATTATTATTTATCCCTCGGTTTCCTAGTGGAACATAGGGCCTCAGCAGCAACTCACCATTCCACTCTGTTCTCTCCAGTATTCCCAACCTCTCTCCAACTCTGCCCACAAGCTTTCATTCCTTCATCACATGATCTACTCCATGTCACCCTCACCTCGGACGCCCAACTCATCGTTTCTCATTTAGCTTCCACTCGAGGGCCTAGCCTGGCGTGTAATGTCCCCAAATGGTCTCCTCAGTGTATGTCCAATCCAATCCAATCCACCTCACTTTCTTCTGCATATTTGTTGGGTGATGAGTTGTTGGTTGGTTCGTTGCCAGCCAGCCAGCCAAACTTCCTTGTTGCCTATTCCTGTAATTCTGGCCATCTGATCAACATCCAGTATTGAGTGAGCATAGGCGGCAACTGTTGATGTATGTCTGTAGTTTGTTGGAAATGCTTTCCGTAACGCACCAAGTCTCTCAACCATCACAAAGAAGCACTGACTTACTTGACTGAATTAGTGTTGGAAATACGGATGTTGTTCACGCTTTATGCTGAGTGCAGTGCAGTGCGGTGTAGTGTAGTGTAGTGCAGTAGATCTCCACACTGATTGATTTCAGATTAATGAAGGCCTGTCTTGCTGCCTCTCCGATCATGGCTTTGACATCCTAATCTGTGCCTTCACTGCCACCGCCACCGCCGCCACCTGTATTTGAAACTATGCTGCTTAGGTAGGCAGGTGTAGGCGTAGGTGTAAGAGACAACTTCGTTTAGATTTCTCCCATTGATGGTGATTGGTGCTTGTTGTTGTTGTTGTTGGTGGTGGTGGTGGTTGGATATCTTCATCACCTCTGTCTTCTCTACGTTCACCTGAAAGAAGTTTTGTCTTCGTTGCCTCACCTCTTCTGCCAACTTGTTAGTTTTGGCCTGTAGATCTTCGAGTTTGTGCGATAAGACATTAGACATAGATCATCGTGGGGGGAAGGGGGGGGCGATGGGTGGAGGGGGGGATCGAAATCTTGTTCTAGGGTCTTTTCATCGGTCCAGAGTATGCCAATTATATATATGTCCATTTGATATAATGTTGTCAGGTCCTTCTTACTTGCAGCCTGTTCTCCTTCAGTAGCTAGTGTGTCGTAGAAGGGTCTTTTGTCTTTCCGCTCACTCTTTCCCATTTTTTTGTCCAGTGTTGTACTCAGTTCCTCTTTTCGTTGTTCATCCGTCAAGTTAGTTAGATACTTATTTTAATTTAAAGGTTTGTGGAGATTTATTTATTGATTTCAGGACTGATATTAGTTAGAGAAACATTCAGGACCTGGGAGCACTGAACAGCTGTTTCATCCTAGCACGGGACTCAGCAGTGCGCACCCATGATCCCGACTAGTTAGGGATCGGACCTAGGACCTTCAGGTTCCTTTGCCCAGTACGTTACCATGGAGTTACTGGGTTGGCATCCAGTGGTTCACATTTCCTATTTATTTCAATTCACGATATAGCGCAACCTCCATCCAGTGTCACCGTCGAGTACCTGTCCTCACGTCTGACTTGGTTGGCCTCACCGGTCACGACTTCTCATTAGATCTCCGAAAATCTCATCTTGAAGCAAGTCGTTAATGAGCACTGGGCAGTAATTCAATTTGGAGGTTTGCGGGGATTTATTTATTGATTTCAGGATGACATTTATCTCAGAAATGTAGGCCATTGGATGCCAACCTAGTGGCTCAATGGTGACGTGCTGGCTACGGAACCTGAAGGTCCTGGATTCGATCCATGGCGGGGTCATGGGTTAGGAGTCTCATACTAGGACAAAACAGTTGTCCAGTGCTCCCAGATTCCAAATGTTTCTTAAACTGATGTCAGTCCATGGTGAATATCAACTTGACATGCAAAAGTCTCCATTTAACTCAAATGTTAATTTTTATCAAAGTGGATAAGTACATCTGCAGTTAGTTTGGATGATTTTGAGGGCCGATTGAAGTATTAGGCGTTTAATTAACTACGTAACGGTGTCTTTTAACGAGAAACAGTAATGCTGCCCATGTGTTATGCATCAATAATGTTGAGATACTAGGTTGGCTACGGAGTGCAAGCATTGTATGAGAATTAATATTAGACACCGGACTAAAAAGTAACCGGTTGCTTGTGCATGGATGAATATGCGACTTGAATACTAATCATATGCTTAGAATACATAGCGCAATTAAATGCATACACAATATACTTACAACATCTTTTGAAAAGACTAAGACATTTCTAGCAGCTAAATCACGATGTACAAGACCACATTCTTCTAAATAACTCATTCCACGCGCAATTTGTAGTGAAAATTTATGCAATATAGGGACAGAAAAACTTGACCGTAGTTCAGATTCGCGAAGACATTCCAACAGTGAACGAAGTGGTGCAAGTTCAGTAACCTAAAAGACAGGATACAGAAAAAATAATTAACATCCATTGAGATATTTGAAACAATTAAGCCCTTTATGAATTTCGATAATGTAACTAGAAGACGAAGTTTATCGGAACAATGTGATGCATTTGCACAATACATTCCGAACAATCTGGTTACAGATTACCTGTCAAGTCAATTTACATGAAACCGAAGGATGGGTGGGGGGAGGGGGTAAATACAACAATTGAGATTACAGGGGATTAAAATTAAGAAAGATGAGAACGAATAGGAAGAGTGACGTAGTTGATTCTAATCTTGGTAAGAAAAGAAAGTTTACCAGGGTAGTGTAGTGTATAGGAGCAAACTATTTTTGTACACATAAAGGTGATTCCAATTTGTGTATGGCTGTCGTTTCCGCAAATCTCAGTATACGTCCCTGACTATTTTTAAAATTAATACTCTCTGACATAGAAGTAATGTGAACTAATCAATTAAAAAGTGCTCACGCTGATTTGAAGATCTCGCTAGTCATATCACAGTGTTTCAAACTGCTTTTCGTAAAGTATACTGAAGTGACCTAACCCATGAGAAGTCATTCTGATGACTAAGGGTGTGAATTCTATATGCTCAGTGGTGACTAGCTTTGAGAGGTGATTCGTGACTGGTGGGGCAAACCTGGTGGCCGTAAGGACAAATACCCAACGATGACATTGGATGATGATCGCGCTATGCTATGATTTGACAGAAGTAGGAAATATATACCATTGGATTCTGACCCAGTGGGTCAATGGTAACGTGCAAGCCACGGAACCTGAAGGTTCTAGGTTCGATCCCTAAAGGTGAGGGGATCACGGGTGTGGACCGTTGGGAGTCCCATACTAGGTATCTAATGTTTCTCCAACTGATGTCAGTCGATGATGAATACCAACGTGAAATGAATAAATCTATCCCCACAAACCTCCAAATTAAAAAGCTAAAGAGTTGAAATCACCCTGAATCAGTCATACACAGGTGGTGAAAGCTGCTGATAAATTCTGGCAGGAAAGAATACCCACCAGAACACCAGAGACAAACAAGTATTTCAGAGAAAAGTCTATTTTCGGCGATTTCATTTTCAAAGTTGTACAACCGCAAATTTATATATTTCTTTGGTGTTAAGATTTCATAGTTAAAAGTGGTTTGTTGGGCACGGCAACAAAAATAGTATCAGTATATGAGCTATAATCGAAATCAGAAACTGTGATGACTAGTGAGGATTAACCAGGATAATGACTGGGGTTGTATTAAGATTACTAAGTTTGTATAAGAAGTCTGGTAACGTGACAACATATTTGGTAACTGAAGTATGATCAGCAAAAGCATATAAACAAGAATGAATAGTAAATTACGTAAGAAGTGAACAGTGTAGAGAAGAAAGAGGTGATTTCAAAGAGTGAAAATTAACACCACGAAAGGATAACGGGGATTGAACAATTTTCTTGTGTACACATTTTAGGTTTCTCTATATGGACGGCAAGAACTTCGGTGATACATGCAGCCTTTGGAAGGTTTTTTCCCGCTGTATAGATGACTTGAACGAGAAGGTTCCTGAGATAAAGTAACAAGTGTTCACGATGAGTTCAACTAAAGCATTTATTATCGCTCCACTGTTACCCTTTGTAACTACAAAGGACTGTGCTCTTTTGGATAATAGTACCTAGCTTCACAAAAGCATGTGAATTGATATACGCACATAGAAGTGGTCAGATGCGAAATTTTGTCCCTCAAATTGTTAGAAATCATTGAGTGACGAGATAACACCAGTCTGTGTTGACGCAAAGAATGTTCTTCTTAGAGAGCTTTATATCCTCCTCTTTAGAGTGTCAGCGGCAGAACCACCTCTGAAAGGATGGTGTCAATACGGTTCTTTATGTGACGTTTGAGAAACTTGGAGTTTCGGATATATAAGATTTCTAAGTAATGCTTCCCAATACAATTTCAGACATTCACCGTTCTTAGTAAAGTCATTAAGAAAACAAATATTGGCATTCATTTTAGCAAGCCTGATAAAATAACGTAGAAACCTATTTAGTTGCTTTATTTTCGTAGGTTCCCTGCTGGTTTTCAATGTGCGAACGATACCCATTAGGATATAAAAGAACAAGTATTTCAGCGAAGAGTCTCTTTCTGATCACACTTCAGTTACCAAATATGTCATCATGTTACCAGACTTCTTATGCAAACTTAGAAATCTTAATACAACTTCAGTTATATCCTGATTTATTTCCCTTTTCATCACAGTTTCTAATTTTAACTATAGCTCATGCATTGACAAACATCACTTGTTATTCTCCGTTGTTATAGTGGATTGATTTGAACGACCTCTGTTGGCATATGGGCTTCTACGCTGATATCTCCATATCTTTGAGTGTTTATCATCAACTTGGTTTCGGCTAACAGTGGAATCCAGGAGGCGCATTTCGTCCCATTTAGGACTCGTCAGCTGGGTGTGGCTGTACCCCAGTGAGTCGTGTTGTCCCCATTGAGATTATAACGACAAATACTCAGGTGTTATCAGGGCACCCGCATAGGAGCCCATATGTCTATATAGGTCAATTAATTCGATCCAGTATAGTAAAGGAGAATTACAAGTATCAACAAATAATAATAACTAACATCCGTTGTACAAACAGATGGTTATCGTGCCTCAGTGGCCTAATGAATAAAGCTTTAGTGTTTGAAACAATGGGTACGTGGTTCAAACCTCAGTAAGGACAACATTACTCACTGGGAGACAGGTGGATCCAGCTGATGAGTCTCAGATAGGACAAAACGCACGTCCTGGATTCCACTGATAGCCACGACCAAGTAAATTATAACTAAGTCAAATGTTTAGATTTAGATGACGACTAGATTCGACAAACCAATGTGTTATATCAAGTAGTCTAATTACAAACTAATGCAGTAGTGTACTTTGTTCTGCTGTATGGTTGCCTGTGAAATATAACTATTCACCGTAGGAGATTTGCCTAAGTTTCAGGTGTTTAATTACTGCTGCCATAAGCATCGCTTACATGTGATGAATAACAGATGAGTGAGACAGAGATTAGGTGTGAAGTACAAATTAATCGAAGCAAGTCGGTAAAAGAGGTTTGAACCTTCAACAATTAAGGTGTGTATGTGGTATGTTGTACTTGTGCTTACTTCGTCTCTCCCAATGTTAGCTGGAGTAGAAGTGAAGTCGATCAGATCAAAAAGTGATATCAATCCATGAAGTTTCAGAATGTTGTTCTCAGCCATGTGAATTATTGTAAGCTTTTCATCAGGGTCTGCCCGACAGTCAAAGTATATGATGAAAAGCTTAGAGGATACGGTTCAATATCGAGTGTAGCAGCTAAAACGTACTCCTGCCTCGTCTCCATCCAGACAGTAATCACCGTGTTCACTTTACCTCCTTTCCTTTATCACATAACGTCTTCACTACAGTTGACAGTATCATTTTCTGCCTTTCTGTTGAGTGACTCCCACTTACTGAGGTGTTACTATGACGTATAGCAGTTAGGACCAATTAATAGTTGTGCTAGGGAACGTGCTTTATCCATCTATCTGCTTCCTCCTACTGATCTAATTCTGCTTGACTTAGAAGAATAGCACATCAACAGAGACCTGATTAGCCCACATATATAAGGATCAGAATCGATGCAGATATATCTACACATTATCCTCATTTTAATCCTGTCGAATTCAGTATTTTCTTATTCCTCCTTCTTCTCTTTTACCACTTTATACTTTTGATAAATCCTTCTTTATTTTATATTTCTCACTTGATGTACTGATATGTGAGGTGTAGTAAATTGGATCATTATGCGGTAATCCCCAGTCCTATGTTGATGATGATATAGGTACGTTTACATAATACATATATTTTTCACTTACTTATTGTAATTCGAGTAAAATGCTTAACATTATGCTAGCAATTACACGTTTAACTTTCAAGTTCAAAAATTGTTAGTCATAAACCATTTTCAAAAGCGAATGAAAACACAAAACGTATTCAACTATTCTTCACCTTATTTCCTAATGCTTTGTTTATAAACTGAGAGAAAATTTATGAAAATATGGCTAGTTTTACTTCTTCTTTTTAAATAAATGGTTTGTAACCGAAAAATGAAAGTGTATATATAGAATGGATTATTTAAACAAGACATGATACAATACACTTTGAATGGTTTTGAATTTATTTCTAAAGTAAAGTTGTTGGTTTATGCGGACAGGTGAAAGCAATATGGAACTTACTAAGTAAAATATGAAATTCGATAGCTTCAACTAATATGCATCCATTGCAGAGATTAAAAAAAATTTCGGAAAACATTATCAGGTTTTGTCATACAACTTAAAATTAAAAATAAGTATGTACAAAAAGTGGTCAGTCAACAACCGACTGAGAAAAGAAAGATAACCTCTATCATCCTGAACCTACAGTAGTGGTTGGGCTTACCTGTTTCAATAGTAAAAAGAGCTTTGCTTGAGGTTCTACAACATCGAAAAGGTCTGTTGGACAATGTGTAAAGCACAGTGTAAACGACTAAAGCTTTGAAGGAGGTTCAAGAGTGAAGTTTCACTGATATCTATATAAGGTGGGGAAGAAGTAAGGTGTTTTCAGCCTTACATGATGCCTTCGCTTAGTAAGAAAAGTTATGAAGTGAACCTACCCCCCCCCCAAAAAAAAGATAATTGCACACTTCTGTCTGCTCAACGGACTCCAGGTATCGGCGGCATGAATTTTTCTAAAAGTACGAGTTTGACTTTCATAAATTCAAACCGAAAAATTTAAAAAAGATTATATTTCATCAACCTCAAGGAGATGCCTCACGAGCCCTATGGTTTTGCACCCAGAGTGATAAGACAAATCTCACCTACTGTTACATTTGGTCGCCTACTTGACTATACACTGTGATGGTAGCTAACCGTAACGATTCTGACTCCAGAATCCTAGGAAGTAACAGCTTTAAAACCCCAAGATGAACACAGAAAAAAAAACAGGTCTGAGTCCAGACCAAATAACAGAAACAAATTAGAACATGCGCCATCGAAGTTCAGGACACTGATACACTTAAAATAGAATCAATCAATAAGGAAGCAGTTTAGAAAAAGGTGGCAAGAAATGTTCTGGTCACAACCTAGAGGAAGGCACTAAAACCATAAATCCAAACTCATCAAATATCACTGGTTGGAAGTCAACTGCTAGCTACAGTTTCACATTCCAAGCTAGTGGTAAAAATGAGCTTCATGGCACCTAAAGGATGAATACCATACACTGGACAACCAACAGAATGTGTTGTTCCATTGGATTTTTGGATTAAAATTATGAGCTATAGCTGATGAAAACAACTCAATGAATCTTTAACAAGAGTTATTCGATGCAATGTTTTTTAATACTGTGCCTCAATAGTGAATGAGACGACCATATTACTAAGTCATACTTCTAAAAAATAAACAAGGAGACTGAAAAAACGCATAGGGAACATATCAATAATCTAATTACCACATAGTTTTACTTTTCAGAAATATATTTATAATTAAATCACTCACAATTTTAATTGTATTGATTTCAACACATACTCCAAGAAGGCGTACAATATCTGGATGATCTAGTCGATGCATCATTGCTATTTCATTCAGGAAATCGCAAGTTTCATCACCCATCTTCTTAGTATCCACAATTTTAATAGCCACTGGACAACACGTCTTGAGTCTGTATGCCAAACACCCTGTAATGAATTCATACGTGAATAACAGTAGTAATGATAGTGAGTATTGATACGTAGCGACAAAAGGCAGCCAATAGGGGAGTTGTTTTCAAGTCATGTTCAGGTAGTGATTTATGCATGCGCTGATATGAGAACCTGATTAGAGAAGTTCGACCTCATACAAGGAATCGGATTGGTTCATTTATGGCTTCACTTTCTGAGAGTTTTGTAAACACATATATGTCGTGTATTTGCCTAATAAAAGTTGTCACTGTTCTTGCAGTCACAGGCCGTCTTTGTCTTCTGGTTTCTCGCAGCTCAGTGAAGCAGAAGGTACTGGGGGAGGTCAGTCGTAAAGGTATTCGGTTAAGGTGTCTATTGAGTCTCAGTATTCATTATACCCATGGCGCAACCCCACCCCTCGGTCACAACAAGTATGTAACTTGAGACAGAAAACAGGATGAATATAGATAAATTTACCAGATGTTAATTAATGTTACCATTTGTTCACCAGTCCTGAAGGAATAGAAACACTGAGCTGGTTTTTGTTTGACATATTTACACATGTACCTAAAATCACGTCCATCTCCTGCAATACCAAGTTGAAAAAAGAACAATTCTTTGTTTTAAAAGGCGTGAAATGTATCTTGATTTTGTCAATATCTTTGCAGATGAGTGTTGAGAAAAGCATGAAAATCAAGTTCAGCTCAGTTTTCTTATTAGAGCAGCTGATATGATATTAGAAAAGTATGTTTCAAGAAACTTTCTTTATATTTTTCTATCAGCTAAGAAGGCTATTTCAGTTTTTTCCGATCATGAAAGAGTACGAAAGTGGAGTATACCTCCAAGAGGAACAAAATTTGCATAGTATTTAATGGTCGCTTGACGGCTACCAATCTAACATGAAAACGAATTTCAAGTGGATGACTGATATCTAAATAATACGGTTCAGGATTAGATATACACTGATGCTTAGACATCAATGAAAGAAAAGCGATTGGGGAAACAAATTAGCTGAAACTTGTGGAATTCACATTTTCTGAATCAAAGTAAATATGATATCATAATCTACTTTCCAGTAAGTTGTGAATATTGTAAATCAAGTTAACTCTTATAGTGTTTCTAGAGATCAATTCAGCTTCATTTACCACAACACAGGTGGAGCTGTGGCTCATTCATTTAGGGGGTTGACTTTCAAGCATTAGGTCACGCGTTTGATCACCGACTCCACCTATCGAGATAGTTTGGGTAGCCACGTAGTAGCATCATTAACCCTCATGCAATAGGTGTGACCTATTGCCTACTACTGCACAAATGTGCACAAGGTTGCAGAGTGGATGTCCACTTCGATCACAACATGGGGCATGGCAAAATCATCAATGACCTAAAATTCTCGTATACAACCTTTAAGTTTCTTAATATCATAGTTCTCTGAAACAACTGTATATATACTACAACGATTATGTATAGTGATACATAGTATGAACTATTAAACAGTGCCTTCATAGGTTACCCTAGTCGAGATCACTAGTTTACTAGCCCATCCTAAGCCCGGAAAAAGAGGGAAGGTTGGGCATAGGGCAAGCAACCGTACCCCGGAAAATCCATCCCATCGCTAAAAAAACTCCGGAGCACAAAAAAAACAAAATATAAACTAAATCCTCACTGGAATCGAGGAGGCGAAATGACGCCAGTTGGTGAAAGCCTTCAGGAAGCCAAATGGCCGATGTCTTTTCTCTTCTCTCGATGAAAGCGAAAGTAAATATTGGGTAAGGGAATGTCCGCACAATGTTTGAAACTGGCTGGCAAGGCTGCTCAGGTTTCAAAAGAGATGAGAAGATATGGCAGAGAAGTGCTAGGAAACTGCGAAAGCAGACTGAATGGCAGTGGACTCTCCAAACTGTCAACTACAGAGTCAATAATCTACTCCGATATTGTCACCAAGATGACAACCACGACCACACAGTTTTCGAGTGGCTATCATGATGTCACCAATAGCACCAAATACTCTCTCTCTCATGCAGTGGCAACCAAGCTCCTTCTGTAGGATCATGACAGTAAGATTCAATTCAAAAGGAAGGAAAGACACAATCAAACAATGCTACCCTATGCACCTACAAATAATGCACATCAAGAGAAGAAGGAGAAATTCTACAGGCAACTGAAATCAGTACTAGACAAGGCCCCAACCCATATGGCGACATCAAAACTGATTCTAAACAGCGACATGAATGCCAAACTTGGAGCAGACAACACAGGAAGAAAACTCATGATGAGTCGAGAAGCACTCGATGAAATGAACGAGAATGGAGAACTGTTTGCAGACTTCTGTGCCTTCAATGATTTCGTGATTGGAGGTAGTGTGTACAAACACAAGGATATTCACAACGCAGAGACATGGATTTCACCAGATGGACACACTAAAAATAAGATCGACTGCATCTCAATCTCAAGAAAGTGGAGATGCAGCTTACATAACACAAGAACAAGCAAGGGAACAGATGTAGGTTCACACCACTCATTATCTACTGAAAACAAACTACCCTCAAAATCAAGTTGAAAGCCTTCAAAGATGTTGGTGACAGACCACAGTTCAAGTTCAACACCCAGAACAGAAACTGAGTAGAAGGACGAAACTACAAAGGAAATCTTCATATCACTCAGCCATCAGAACAAAATCGGAAACACTGAAAAACATCCCGGAAAGAACCTGCAAGCAAAAACACTGGAAATCTCTGCAACAGACGTGGAAAGAAACATGAATAACCCTATTAGGAAGGAAGACGAAACAAGACAAGGAATGGATATCATCAGACACATGGAAGCTGATACAGGAGGCAGAGGAAGATAATGAAACAGAAGGTGAACATGTGCAGTGCACTGAAAGGATGAACAACAAAAAGAACAACTGAACACAACCTATAAAACACTACACTGGACAAAAAAGTCAAGAAGACTGCGCACAAAAAACAAAAGACACTTCTACAACACACTGGCAAGTGAAGCAGAACAGACTGCAGGTAGGAGAGAGACAGACACCTGACAACACTATATCAAATAACAAGCTTACTTGCTGTCCACGAAGAGATCAACACACATGAAACCAATCAATTAGTCAAGGAAACTTAGTTGCCACCAAACAGGAGAAACAAACCAAACGATGGGCTAACAACTTCAAATAACACTCTTCAATCAACCACCACCAACACCACCACCACCACTTGAAACTCATCTAGAAATACCACCAGCAACCCAGTCACAGAACTATCAGTCAACACAAACCCTCCGACAAAAGCAGCAAAGAAGTCATGAACTCCATAAAGTTGCTGAAATCTGGCAAAGCAGCAGGGACAGATGCGATTCCCCAGAAGCACTAAAAACAGACACACAGACAACAGCAGCGGACATGCTCACACCACTATTGCAGAAGGTTTGGAAGGAAGGAAAAGCACCTGCCAATAGATTCGAACAAGGGCTAACTTGTAAAACTCTCACACAAGGGTGACCTAAGTATTTGCAAGAACTGGCGTGGAATCATGCTCATGTCACTGTGCACCCCAAACAAAATATTAAGCCGCATCATCCTGGAGAGACTAAAAAAGTGCTCTGCATTCAAATTCACGACAGGAAAACGCTGACTGGCTTCAGAAAGTACAAATCATGTGCCGATCAAATTGCAACGCTACGCTACGCATCCTTGTAGAATACAGCATAGAATATCAGTCAACTCTCTACCTCAACTTCATCGACTTTGAAAAGGCCTTCGATAGCATACACCAAATGTAGCTTGCAAACTCCTTCAACACTTCGGTTTCAGTGTCACAAACCTTCACCAAACTCATTCAACAGCTATATGCTATGCTATATGATGCTACATACCAGGTGACTCACAATCCAAAGCTCAGTGATGCATTCAAAGTGAAGACAGGAGTAAGACAACGCTGCCCTCTACTATCACCAATCATCTCCGCCCGATTGTCGTCGACTAGACAGGACTCGACTGGACTGCATCATGCAACAAACTACTGTGGGCAGAGAGAAGAGGGCCATACGCTGGATCGACCGATGAAAAGACCCTAGAACATGATTTCGATACCCCCTCCACCCATCGCCCCCCCCTTCCCCCCACGATGATCTATGTCTAATGTCTTATCGCACAAACTCGAAGATCTACAGGCCAAAACTAACAAGTTGGCAGAAAAGGTGAGGCAACGAAGACAAAACTTCTTTCAGGTGAACGTAGAGAAGACAGAGGTGATGAAGATATCCAACCACCACCACCACCACCACCAACAACAACAACAACAACAAGCACCAATCACCATCAATGGGAGAAATCTAAACGAAGTTGTCTCTTACACCTACGCCTACACCTGCCTACCTAAGCAGCATAGTTTCAAATACAGGTGGCGGCGGTGGCGGTGGCAGTGAAGGCACAGATTAGGATGTCAAAGCCATGATCGGAGAGGCAGCAAGACAGGCCTTCATTAATCTGAAATCAATCAGTGTGGAGATCTACTGCACTACACTACACTGCGCTCAGCATAAAGCGTGAACAACATCCGGATTTCCAACACCAATTCAGTCAAGTAAGTCAGTGCTTCTTTGTGATGGTTGAGAGACTTGGTGCGTTACGGAAAGCATTTCCAACAAACTACAGACATACATCAACAGTTGCCGCCTATGCCCCGACCGATAGCTGCTACCTTGACGTGGTGGTCGGGCTTGCATATCACAATGACCCAACGAGCTATGCTGGTGGAACGCTTGTTCCCTCGAGGTCCTACCATACCAGAAAGGTCTGTTGGGTAGTGGTTAGACGAAAAGCAGTTACCGTTATAGTGTAAATTGCTACACTATGATGGGGGTCTGAGGGCGAAGTCGTACTGCTGCTAGCTGGATGGGGTGTGACAGCAGTAAGGTGTTTCCCTTGGATGACCAGCAGTGCCAAGCTGATGCTGCCTTCTCAGTGGAAGGGGGGGTTAGAAAAGGTCGGCCCCAAAAATAACACACTCCACCAC